TGTGTCCTTCACCCCCCCACACACACACACACAAAACAGCTCTGCCATCAGTCCCTGGATGTGTCCCGCACCCCCCCCCCCCACACACACACAAAACAGCTCTGCCATCAGTCCCTGGATGTGTCCCGCACCCCCCCACACACACACACACAAAACAGCTCTGCCATCAGTCCCTGGATGTGTCCTTCACCCCCACACACACACACACACAAAACAGCTCTGCCATCAGTCCCTGGATGTGTCCCGCACCCCCCCCACACACACACACAAAACAGCTCTGCCATCAGTCCCTGGATGTGTCCTTCACCCCCACACACACACACACACAAAACAGCTCTGCCATCAGTCCCTGGATGTGTCCTTCACCCCCCCCCACACACACACACAAAACAGCTCTGCCATCAGTCCCTGGATGTGTCCTTCACCCCCCCCCACACACACACACAAAACAGCTCTGCCATCAGTCCCTGGATGTGTCCTTCACCCCCCCCCCCCACACACACACACAAAACAGCTCTGCCATCAGTCCCTGGATGTGTCCTTCACCCCCCCCCCCACACACACACACAAAACAGCTCTGCCATCAGTCCCTGGATGTGTCCTTCACCCCCCCCACACACAACACACAAAACAGCTTTGCCATCAGTCCCTGGATGTGTCCTTCACCCCCCCCACACACACACACACACAAAACAGCTCTGCCATCAGTCCCTGGATGTGTCCCGCACTCCCCACCCCACACACACACACAAATACCTCCCAGCCTTTTTGTGAGCAGGGCAACTAGCCCAAACCGCTCTTGATTGTTCCTTAAAGTTCCCAACTTGGAACCATTGGAAAAAAATCAATCACAACATAGGAAATAGAAGTCTTTGAAGGATTAGCGTTTTCTAACTTGCACTCAGTAGACATTGGCCCTGACAGTATGCGACCAGTGGATAGAGTCAGGCTAATGCTGCCCTTCTTGCTCATTTTGACACTTTACACCCCACAGTGGCTTCCTCTCCCCACTTTTTTCCCCATCTCTGCGGAGACCATCTCCTCTGCCCAGAGTGCTGTCTCATCTAGTTCTTTCATTCTCCCTTTGACATCTCATTCCTATGGGGATGGAATAGATTCTGCTAGCATGTTCATTCACACGTCATCCTTTCCATCTTGCTTATTAGGACTTACTGTCTGCCTTGTGCCGGCTTCAGGGAATGCTTTTCTCTAGCCTTCACAATAACCGTAACAGGAAGGCCATCCCTCGGCCCCTTGTAGTCTCTCTGCTCCTCCAGTCTGTGTCCAGAGTCATGAAAGGAATATGTTCAGCTACAAGTAGCAGAAGGATAATGAAATGATGAAGGTTTAAACAAGGTAGAGCTTTTTTTTCCCACCTGAAAGTTGAAGGTGACAAATAATCTGAGGACTCCATCCTAGCTGCCCATTTTTTAGGCATCAGCTGTGTGTGCCCTGGTCTTGCTTTTGAGTCTCATTATTTAGCAAATCCTTTTGGTTATCTATCCAAAGCATTTCCCAAGCAGTATATGGTGATGCATACTTGTAATTTCAACACTCAGGAGGCTGAGGCAGGAGGATCTCTGAATTCAAGGCCAGCCTAGGCTACAAGTGTGACCTTGTCTTTTAAAGAATGGTTAGGTGCAGCTCAGTGATAAATCACTTCCTGGCAAATGTATGGGCCCCCATCTCTAGCACCATTTTTTAAAATGCCAAATCTGTCTTTTCACTACCAGTCTACCAATAGAACCAACACCAGTGCCAGTCACCTGGGCTACTGTAGTAGCCTCCTCCTTCTTGCTCTATGCCCCATGTGCCTACACCCTTATTCCACACTCGGAAATCTAAGGTATCCTCTTAAATACTGACAGTGATGTCCCTCCTCTGCTCCCAACACTCCCACGGCTTCCTCCCGACTTAGAGAAAAAGCCAAACCTTCACCATGTTGTAAAAGGCATAACCTTTGACCTTACCTCCTGCTCCTCTTGCTTTCGCTCACTTCAACCACACCAGACTCCTTCCTGACGCTGCCCAAATCCAGTACACTCACCTCAGGTCGTGCAATCCACATTGGCCCTTCCCTCCATTTCTGCGGGTCTCTCCATGGCTCTCTTCCTCACCTGTGCGGGGTCTGTATCAAAGATCCCTTTCCCTGGGGACTTTCCCTGACCTGTTCAGTTCTACCCATTCATCTTCAACCCTCAGCCCTCCAGATTCTCTTCCCCAGCATCCTACATGGGCAGATACAGTTAAGGTGGAGAGGAGATTCTGCCCTCTGATAACCTGACCCCCAACCCTTTTTCTGCAAAGATCCTGGCTTTCAGCTTCAATAACCTCAACCCTCCCGCAGCCAAGGCCCACTCATGTAGCCTCCTGGGAATCTGTGTCACTACTAATCCTCATTCACTTCTCCTGCAACCTCTCTGTCCAGTCTTTCTCACGGAGTGGCAGTAAGGGGGAGATGGTCACAGGGATATAAAGGAGGATGCAGACCACACCATGAACCCTGAGAAAGCAAGCACCTGTTCCAGAAAGAGACAGGTGCTAGGGTGGGGAACTGGAACTGTCTCAGTCATATAGAAGATACAGGGACTATTCGGGTTCAAGTACACAAGGAGTAGGGATCATTAACCTTGGGGTACACCTACAGTCAGCTGCCTAGGACTCCCTGTTAGGTATGTGCTTCACCCCTCCCCTGCCCCCTCCCCCACACAGCCACATCTGTTAAGCTCCTAGGATCTCTGCAGACCTCCAAAGTAAGAAAGAGGACCTCATCCCACCTCCGTACCTCCCTCTCACCTTGGTACCTCCCTCGGCTTCCAACCACCACACAGGCCATGTTTGGTCTTAGATATGTCCCACCAACCTAGAAGCCCCAACCAGTGAAAGTTTTGCTTTGAGATAATGGTAGGGAGGGTTGAGGGTTTTTTTTTTTTTCAATAGTTGTTGTTGTTGTTGGCTGATATTTTTAGGTCTTCTTTTTTTTCTATTCGCTTTTTTCCCCTTTTGTCTTTACAAAGCCAGGCCATCAGTTCCACGCTTGTCTTTTCTAAAAAGGTGAGGTAGGTTGAGAAAAGTCACTCTCTTTGTGTGTGTGGGGGGGTGGACCTTAGAAGATAGGGGATAAGGAAAAAGGGGGCAAAGAAAGAAACCGGTAAAGGGAGTGGGTATTGGCCACTAGATTAAGTATGTGAATAAAAAACATATTTCTACTTTCTCTTCCTCAGGCCTGAAGTCAGTCTTGCAAAGAGGTCGCGGTGGGCGTGCAGCTGGACAGCTGGAACTCTGAGCTCTGCAGGGTGCCGGGGCATCAAAAGCTGGAATTCTTGACCTTGACTGTGCCTTGTCAGGAGAAATCTGTAGAGACTGATCTGTGTCAAGCGGTGGTTGGAAGGAGCAGATCTGTGCCAAAGTGAGGAAATGCAGCTGCCAAAACCTTGTAGAAAAACCTTAAGTGCTCACAAGCATCGAGCTCCAGAAATCTCCAAATCCCAGAACTTCCCTGCCACCGAATCCTAGAAATTAAACCCGACACTGTTGGCTTCAGGAAAACTGGGCACTTCAGAATTCAGTGATAAGGATCCCTATTTTCCATCTTTGTGATCCTGGGCAAGTTGCACCTCCATTTTCCTTCTCGGTATAATAGCAATACAGTAATGATGAAATGGACCCCAAAGGGAGCGTATTGTTTGGGGAAATGTTCAGCTCTGTGGCTGGAATGTGGAAAATTCTACATAAATGTTGGCTACCAAAAGTATGACAGTTACTTAGAATCCTTAAATCTTTGCAAACTGTAGCTTTGCTTTCCTTTTGTTGTTTAGGTTTTGAGACAGAATATGGCTTTATAGCCCCAGGCAGCCTTAAACTCTTGATCCTTCTGCCTCAGCCTCCTGGATACTGGGATTACTGGCGTGTGTTACTAAACTGGGTGAAACTGGAGCTTTTCAAAGTAGAATGTCACCGAGGCTTGGGGGGGGGGGGTTCAGAATCATCAGGCTATGGCTATATTGTTCCTGACAGGACGGGAACCTTGGGCTACCTTGTGTATTGTTCTTAATTGTTCTTAATCTCGTTTTTGTGATACTGAGGATGGAACCAGATGCCTTGTTCAAGTTAAGCAAAGTGACTTTCTTCCCCTAGCCCTTTGTTGTGAAGTTGGATGCATTAGTATGGGGCCTTTGGGGCTGTTTGCAGGTGGGTGGCTGGTGGGTCAGAGCGCTCACACATAAACATCAATGTGGAGATCCTTTCCTCCTCACGGGGAGACTCTCAGCAGATTCTAGGAGCCAGTGATTCTGAGACTTGTTGATTCTGTGAATTTGTGGTAGTACACCCCACTTTCTTTCTCCATGAACTGCATTGCACGCCTCTTGTCTTCTATGGAAAGAAAGGCTACAAAAGTGTCCAGATCTCCCAACCTTTGGTGACATGAATGATGGGGACCATTCTACCTGAGGAAAAACGGAGGCCTGAGGCAGGACAAAGCCTGTGGAAACCAAGCACTGGGTCCATCTCTTTCTTTGGTGTTTCCCATCCAAATGCTGGGCTTCAGATCCCGTCTTCTTTTCAACCCAGTGGTCCTCAAGCATCCTCCCGTGCACAGAATGGTGTCTCTACCTATCTCGGGATGCCTTTGGGTTTTGAGTTATTTTCCTTTTTTTTCTGACTCTACACACTTTTGTTTAAGAAATTGTGGTTTCTCATGAGCCCTGTTATCTCATTGATACCTTTTACCTCTGTCGTGAGGGGAAGAAATCATATTTTCAGATGACTTGTAAAGGGCAAAGAAAAAACCCAAAATTTCAAAATTTCCGTTTAAGTCTCATAAGAAAAGAATAAACAAAGCGAGAGAGAGAGAAAAAAAAAACTATGAGAACCCCCCCCCCCCTGTGATTATCAGCACACACACTCATCAAAAAAAAAATGGATTATTAGAAGAGAGAGGTCTGCGGCTTCCACGCCGTGGTTTTTCTTCTCGGTATAAAAGCAAAGTTGTTTTTGATAATGTGGCAGTTTCCCACAAGCCAGGCTGATCCTTCTCTGTCAGTCCATTGCACCAAGGTGAGTGTCCCTGCTCTCCCCCACCAGACACAGCTCTGCTGGAGAAAGTAGCAGGGAGAGAGCAGCTGCGGGTCAGGAGCCCTCGAGTCCAGCTGGGAACACCCAGCCACTGTGAACTCCAGGTAAGGACTTTTGAAACTAATGCTATTTATCGGAAGTGCCAGAGAGGTGGCGCAGTCAGTCCTTAGCTGGGGGCATAAAGAAGAAAACTGATTGTTTGATACACAGATGGACAGGATTTTTTTAAAGATGCTAATCAACCGCCGGTCTCTATGAATGCCAAAGCTTCGGGAACTTGAAGTGTTGTCCAGCTGGAACTAGAAACTTGAACTGCATCTCGTTTCTTTGCTCTTAATGCCCCACTTCTTTTCCTGTCTCACTCTGTTTCCTTGTCTGTCCCTTTCTTTCTCCCTTGAATGCCCACTCTCTGTCCATGTCTTTCCAAGGCTCTGCCTATATTCCCTGTCCCTTCCATCCTGAGTAGCTGTATCCCACCTCTCTCTCTCTCTCTCTCTCTCTCTCTCTCTCTCTCTCTCTCTCTCTCTCTCTCTCTCTCTCTCTCTCTCTCCTCACCTACTTCACCTGCTTTTCCACCCAGCACAGAGGTGTGCACCACTGGCACTTACTAATAATTGCTCGAGGGCTCCATTTCCCAAAAGGAGGATTGTGAGCAGGCAGGTCGGTCTTAGCATGTGATTGCTCTTTTGCTTGTGTCACACAAGAGGACACCCTCGACAAAGGCACTTCACAGCACGGTCAACCATGGTTTAGCAAAGGACTGTGTGACTGTGACCAGAATGCATGTCCGTGGAGGACAGACAGTTCAGGACTAGGGTGAACTCGTGTCTCCAGGCTTAGTCGTGTGGCCCTGTGAGTGACTGGTATATGGTAAGTTCTCACTGTGAACTGTTCGTATTTTTAAACAAATTAGAATCATGCTGTATGTGGGGTTTGTTCCTGCTTTATTCAATCAATACCATTTTTGTAGCATACTTTAAAAAATGAACATGTGATCTTTTATGTCTGCCCTGACTGTCCTCACACCACACTCTGAATTGCCTGAACTGAGTGCTGATGGTTGGACATTCAGGTTTCATCTAATTACGAAGACGCACAACAGACCCCTTGGACCCTGAAGATGGAGTAGCTGGGGAAGAAGGCTGTGCATTTTTAAGACTTTTTGTTGTTGTTCTCTCCGCAAATTGCATTTCCAAAGTGCTGCCTTGTTTTCTATTGTTTCTATGCAAGCTAACCTTAGGTGGCTGTTACCATTTCTAATCCCTTACCATCATAAGTAAAAATTGCTATATTGTCAAATTTTACATTCTTTGGTGACTTTTAATGATGATTGGCCATTTGTGCTTTGTAGAGAAGAGTTGTATGAGCATGTTCCCACCCCTAATAGAGTAACAAGATTTTTTTCCTACAGATCTTAATTTGGAAAGGACAATAACTTTCTATTGGCTATACGTCATAGCAAACATTTGCTCCAAATTCATCATTTGTGGATATATGTATTTTCATTTTATTTATTTTATGGGTATGCCTGTATTGCCTGCATGTGCACCATATGCATGCCTGGTGCCCACAGAGGCCAGAATAGGGTGTGGGACCCCATGGGACTAGAGTTAACAGATAGTTGTGAGTTGCCACATGGATGCTGGGGATTGAAGCCACCTCTGGAAGAACATTCAGTGCTCTTAACCACTGGGCCATCTCTCCAGCTCCATTTGTGTACTTTTGTGTTTTTGTTTTGAAAGAGGGTCCCACTCTATAGCCCTGGCTGGCCTAGAACTCACTGTGTAGACCAGGCTGACCTCACTCAGAGATCATCCATCTGCCTCTGCCTCCCGAGTGCTGCGATTAAAGGCACAGGCCACCATACCCTATCATTTGCTTTTTTCTATTTATTGTGCTTTGTAATGCACGTGCTTTATGTATTCAGATTACTCTTTTCTCATGTGGCTTCTATGGCTTTGTGTTTAAAAGTCTTTTGTCACTTGAAAATGAAATAACTGTTCACCCCATACTGGCTTCCAGTCTCCTTTATGGCTTCATTTTTTCCATTTTCACAAGTGTGGGTACTGGAGCCAGACTGTCTGGAACAATGTAGCCTCACCTCAAGTCATCTGTGTGAATGTGAACCAGCACTTAACCTCTCTGTCCCTCCATTTCCTTGTATGCACTGTGGGGGGTATAATAATACCTACCTCAGAGGAGCTTTCTGAGGATTGCGGAATACACAATGACAGACATTAAAACAGTTGTCTTCAGTGGGTCTGGAAATTATTCTAGAGCAGGTGATAATGGTGACATTTCAAGTGGGCAGAGGTACTGGTGGGAAAGTAGTCTGATCATTCAACCCAGTCACTTGATCTTCTCCTGATTGTCTCAGAAGCATTTAGTAATCTCGCCTGCACTATTCCTCATGTTGAAATGTTACATTCATTGCAAATCCCATCGTCTCTATGCAGACCTATGCCAACGCTTTTAACTCTGCTCTGATCCTTACTATCTGTTGTACAAGGGCAATATTTTTCTGATGTTGCTTTGCAAAACAATTCAATACCAGCCATGGATGTCTCTGGCACCTAGGGGCATTAGTCCTCCAGCCAGAGGCCAGTGATCATTTGGGTCAATCCCCTCTTTATCTCTTTCACTTTTTCTCGTTATTTCTCTGTCAGTATTTCTCATAGCTCTCATTGTCTCTCTCTGCGATCTATTTCTGTTCCATCTCATGTCTCTGTGTCTATCTCTCTCTATACCTGTAGCTTCCTCCATTTCTGTTTCCCCATGTCTTTATTCATACACACATGTGCACGTGCATACACAGGCTGGATGGATGTGTGTATTATGTATGTATGATTTACCCCAGACACAGGCCAGAAAGACCCTGGCCTTCCTCCATCCCATATTCTTCCCAGGCCTCACAGAGATGTTGTATCAGTTAAACACAAGCTCCGATCTCAGAAATCTCAGTGGGACCGTGCCTCTGGCCATCCCCCACTGTGGCCTCAGTTTATCCCTTGGTACCCAGGAAGCAGTTATCAGTAAGTGCCAGTCCCTCTTCTGCCTTCTCACAAGTTGGAGCCAGATTTGAGCAAGATGGTCCATAATCATGGCATGGGGCCAGGCCTCACAAACCCTGGGCCAGTGAGTCAGTTGGAAGCCCTAGCCAACCAGAGACTAGCAATGATGGAGGAGTATCAGGAGCGTTGTGTCCTCAGAGTTGGTGCTGGGTCCTGGGGACCACTATTCTGAGGTTTTGCCAAAGAGCGTGGTGGTGTGCTCTTTCCACGAATCCCAGGCCAAATGTCTTCCTCGTGTTCCCATCTGTGGTAGGATGTTATGATTTGGGGAGCAGTGTCCCAGGAGAGGGGGGCTGGAGTCATATGTAAGTGTCCATTTCCCAGTCAGACATTTTGCTCAGCATTTTATATGTACTAACTTTGTTACTGTCCCAAACTAGAAAGGAGGGCAAAGCCTGGCCTGCAGATCAGGACACATGAGGGTCCTTCTAATCCTCTTTCTTTATTGGGAAGGAAACTGAGGAGAACTTGTTGGCATCCCAGGCCCAGCAAGAGGCCTTATAGAGTTTTGGGCTTCCTGGCCTTTACATGGCTCCCATTTCTTTGGACTCAGAATGCTCCACATGGTGAGGAGGTGAATCCAGGCACCCTACAAAGTCTGTGTTCCTGACATCCTGAAATCCATTGGCTCTAAGAAATGAGATCCTATGGTTCCAGGTTTCGGTTACTGTACCATTTGAAGACCCAACGGCTCCCAATAGCCATGAGGCCTGCCTAACACTTACCAAGTGTTCAACCTTGGGCCCCTCTGACATCCAAGAAATACAGGATCCACAGAACCTGGGGTTTACATGGTGGCCAGATGGACGTCACCTACCACATCCGCTTGCACCCACCCTGGGCCTATCCGGCTACAGGATGGATCAGTCAGTTCTCGGAACGAAACCTGTGGGGTGGGTTGTCTGCCCCCTTCTCTTCCTCTTTGTTGCCGATGAAGCCCGGTGCATCCGGCCGCCATGACGTCAATGGCAGAAAAGTCTGGCCAAGTCGGGGTTGTGACAACAGGGCCCAGATGTAGACCCCGATAGGAAAACATATTCTATGTCCCAGAAACAACCTCCATGCAGCTTCTGAGAAACAGTCAAAAAGGGACGCCCCAACAGACAGTGCAGGAAGCTGGCTGGCCAGCCCAGCCCTCCAGGTCCCTACTACCACTAGACAGACCATATCCAATTTAAGTGCCCTTTCTGAGAATGTGCTGATGCTCCCCAGAGTCATACCAGTTCCAGAAATGTTTAGGGAGGAAATTTCTTATAAGTTCTGGCCAAATATCCATACTGCTTCGAAAGTGACCATGGTCCACCCATGAGGGCTAAGCCACTATGGTGGAAAATTCTACTCACGGAACTTAATACACATTTGCTTGGACTGCTGTGAAGAAGTATCACAAACTGGGTGACTAGCCGGGCGGTGGTGGCGCACGCCTTTAATCCCAGCACTCGGGAGGCAGAGGCAGGCGGATCTCTGTGAGTTCGAGACCAGCCTGGTCTACAGAGCTAGTTCCAGGACAGGCTCCAAAGCCACAGAGAAACCCTGTCTCGAAAAACCAAAAAATAAATAAATAAATAAATAAACAAACTGGGTGACTTATACAGCATAGTTTATCGTGGCAGTTTTGAGGCTAGAAGGCCAAAGTCAAGATGTCAGCAGGGTTGACTCCTTCTGTCATCTCTTCCTGCCCTTCTCCCAGTTTCTGGTTGTTTTCTTTGCTGCTCTTTTTCTTGGAGAAGCATCACCTCATGGCTGCCTTCCTTCGGTCTTTCAGCTCCTCTTCTCCTCACTGTTCTATGAAGCCTGTGTTCTCAGCCTCCACAGACTCCTGGTTCTTATACTACTATCTTTAATCCATGAGACACTACAATTTTAATACCTCCATACTAAACTCAAACCAATCTCTTCCAGGGCCACAGTTCTGACGATCCCCATAACATGATAGCAAAGAAGCAATTGCCTTCCAGAACACTTCTGTGCTCCCCTGGCTGTTTTCAGAAGCTGTATACCCATGTAGTACAGTAGACAAGAGGATGGCATACACACATGCGCAGATAGATAGAGCTGGGAGTCTATGAACTGTAGACATGGATACATACTTTCTAGAGAAAGATGTGGAGACATCAGCCTGGATGGTGACTTGTAATTCCAGTAATTAGAAAACAAAGGCAAACAGTTCAAGGACAATCTGGCTATATAGTGAGTTCCAGGTCAGTCCAGTCTACATGAGACCCTGTCCAGAAAGAAAAAGAGGTCCAAAGCTATGGAGAGACTAAGAATTATGAACCTCGGGATCCCTTTAATTAAAAGGGGGTAGAATTATATAGTCATTTGAAGATCTGGTTGCCTCTCTGACTAGAACTGTAAGATCCCGAAAAACAAAAGCCAGGCCCCTCAGGGGCTGTAAGTTACTGGGGCTCACCAGCGGGGCCTGGGTCACCATGTAGGGTTTGAAGAGAACACAGAAGACTGAGGTATGGCTAAGGGAAAAAGCGATGGTGTATGAATTCCAAGCTTGAAGAGCAGAGATTGGGGCACGTAGGGATGTGGCTAATTTGGGGAGCTCCCAAGGGCCCTGGATCAAGAAATCCTGTCCCTTCTTTTTTTTTTGGCACCTGCCATGCTAACTCCATGCAGGACAAAAGCCCAGAGAAGACTAACTAAGCCCCGCTGTGGCCCTGAGCTCTGCAGTCTTGAATTCAGTTACCTACCTGCATGTTTGCCCATGCATCAAATGCTTACCTTTGCGTCTAGCCACATCTGACTAACATCACTGCAAGCCCTGCTCCTCCATCCTCCATCTCTCGTAATGCCCACTGTGTGATAGCTGCTAATGCCAAACCCTAGACGTCATCTTGATGCTTTCTCTCATCTCCGACATCCAAGCTTCCAGCAACTTTTCCTGGCTGTCTTAAAAAGAGACTGAGTATCCAGCCACTTCCTACCAGCTCCTCTGCTACTATCCAGGCTGACAGCAGCAGTAGACTTCTCACTAGTACCGCTAGCTCCCTGGAACCTTCCCTCTCGTGGCATCCAGCTGAATCTTTTGAGCTCATGCCCAAGTCACTGGAATAAAATAATGAGAATCTAAGATGAGCCCCAGCAGAATCGGCAGAGACTGTGGCCTGTGCAGACACAAACCGACTCCCCATAGCCCCACATTCACAACAGGGTTGTGTGGTGTATGCTGGACATGTACATGTGGGGGCTATATACATATATCTATGTTTTATACACATACACATATCAGGGTAGACTGTATGTGTGTAATGGCTTGGGGTATAGTTATGGGGCCCTTTGTGACATACCCTGGCCAACACCTGCTCAGATCAGAGGCTACCTGTATGGTTCAAGTGGATGAATATCTTACACCGTCCCTGGAATGCACGTGACTCCATTCCACTGTTGTCCCTGCAGCCTGCCTCTGAAAAGAACCCAATGCCCAACCCCAGGCCAGCCAAGCCCGTGGCCCCTTCCTTGGCCCTTGGTCCATCCCCAGGAGTCTTGCCAAGCTGGAAGACTGCACCCAAGGGCTCAGAACTCCTAGGGACCAGGGGTCCTGGGGGAACCTTCCAAGGCCGGGACCTGAGAGGTGGGGCCCACGCTTCTTCCTTGAACCCTCTGCCACCATCACAGCTGCAGGTGAGGCCCGGGGCCCAGAATGGGGCAAGCAGGGTGGGGTACCTGGGCCTATAGGTGCCGACCTTTACTGTGGCATGTGGCAGGAGGGGCGCTGGCTGGGGCACAGGAAGTGGTTTATGGGTCCCAGGCAAGTCTGACTTATGCAGATGTTATAGGGCCAAGAAAAATCCCCATTCCCCAGGCCTCAGAGATCTAGGCTTCCCCCACCCTCCCAATCCTTGTCCCAAAAGGAGACCTTGTTATGATCCCATGGGCATAGCCCTGTGTCCTCATTTTGCTGTGACAAGAGGAGATGGCTGAAGCCCAGAAAGGTAAGATAAGGTGACAGTGTTGGGGCCAGCTCTATCACTTTAAACTGTTTGACATTGGTGAATAATGTCTCCATGAGCCTCCGATCCCACATTATGAACTGGATATGTTAACAGTCCCTACCACGTGGAACTTCAGTGAAGAGCTGATGAATGGGACACAGAACTGTGAAAATGGGCGGGGCTAGCATCTTACGGCATCTGTCTTCTCCTTCCAGCTGCCTACAGTACCCCTCGTCATGGTGGCGCCCTCTGGGGCCCGACTGGGCCCCTCACCCCACTTGCAGGCACTTCTCCAGGACAGACCACACTTCATGCATCAGGTATGGAACCTGAGCAGGCTGGGAAGAGGGAATAAACAGGAAAACTGTGAAGCAAAGCCCAAGCCAGGCTGAGCCATGGTCCATATGTTCGTCAGCTCTCCACTGTGGATGCGCATGCTCAGACCCCTGTACTACAAGTGCGCCCACTGGACAACCCAGCCATGATCAGCCTCCCACCACCTTCTGCTGCCACTGGAGTCTTTTCCCTCAAGGCCCGGCCTGGCCTGCCACCTGGTAAACATCTCAGCTTTCTCCCTATGGCTTCACAGAATCTTTGAACATACATAACATAAACTTTTCTGAATTACAGTCCTATGGAGGTCTAGGGGGTGGTCTTTTTTTTCTTTTGGTTTCTTGAGACAGGGTATCTTTTTGTTTGTTTGGTTTTTTGTTTTTCGGGACAGGGTTTCATCTGTAGCTTTGGAGCCTGTCCTGGAACTAGCTCTTGTAGACCAGGCTGGCCTCAAACTCACAGAGATCTGCCTGCCTCTGCCTCCCGAGTGCTGGAATTAAAGGTGCACCACCACTGCCCGGTGAGACAGGGTATCTTTATATAACAGTCCTGGCTGTTCTGGAACTCACTTTGTAGACCAGGCTGGCCTTAAACTCACTGAGATCCACCTGCCTTTGCCTCCCAAGTGCTAGGATTAAAGGCATGCACCAACACTGCCTGGCCATTATTTTTTTTTTATTTTATTGGTGTTTTGCCTGTATGTCTCTGTGAGTGTGTTGGATCCTGGAGTTACAGACAGTTGTGAGCTGTCATTTGGATGCTGGGAATTGAACCTGGTTCCCCCAGAAGAGCAGTCAGTGCTCTTAACCACTGAGCCATCTCTCCAGCCTAGAGGGGTCTTAAGAGTCATGAAAACTTCAACCTCCAAAAACTGTCAGGCTTAGAACCTTGAAGACGTAGAATGCTAACAACCACAAATGGCTGCCATTAGTAAATATGTCATTACTTACCAATGGCCATCTTTAGGCTGCTCTGTCAGAAGTTCTGCTCTGTGGGAACAGCAGAGTCCTGTGAGTCAGTGTTCAAAGGTCCAGGAAGGTAGAGGCCTTCTGGGACCAGCTACAGAACCTAGCCTGCTGCCCCCAAAGTACCCCATCTCTACCCACAGGGATCAATGTAGCCAGTCTGGAATGGGTGTCCAGGGAGCCAGCTCTACTCTGCACCTTCCCACGCTCGGGTACACCCAGGAAAGATAAGTAAGTTGCCAGTGCTGGGAAGAACCCCGCTCTCTCTGCCCACCCCTCTGCTGATATCCTGTACTCCCCCATCCCCAGCAACCCCTTGGCTGCACCGCAAGGATCCTATCCACTGCTGGCCAACGGAGTCTGCAAGTGGCCTGGTTGTGAGAAGGTCTTTGAGGAGCCAGAAGAGTTTCTCAAGTGAGTAGGCTGACTAACCATGGGCTTCTGGTATCTGAACCGAGGTCTGCCGTGCATGTCAACTCAGAATCCTCCTGATGGATGCAAAGTAGTAAAGGTTGAGACTTTATCCCTCCGGTTCTGTGATCTTGGGCTTCTCTAGGCCCAGGTTACCTCACTTGAATGAGACATAATACTAAAGGTATATGCTGATAGTTATCTCCATTTCATACACCAAGGTACTAAGGCCAACCAGAATTGTCAATTAAGCTAACAAAGGTCCTGTGTGATGAATGTTGGATATGAACCCAGGCGGCCAGGCTCCAGAACCCGCACACCAAACTGCTTTGTCTTGTTTTCCCTCATGCAACACACATGACTGAGTCTCAAATTTCTGCTCTTCCCGACAGCTGTAGCTGTTTCCCCTCGGCTTTCTATCTGTCCTCTTCTCCTTCTGTCTTTCACTAATCATACCTAGCTCTTGGCAATGATGTACTTCCTGTACGGCCAGGCCTTTGCGTAGGCTGTGCCCACCACCTGAAATGCCATCCTACTTCTCGGTGCCTTTCTGAGCTCAGGCTGGAAAGCCAGTAGTTGCCGAAGAGTGGATGTTTAAAGTAGTCTGTGTGGTAGAAAGAGACGGACAGGGGTGTGGTTGAGTGCAGGGAAACTGAGACTCTAAAGAGAAATCTCCCAAAGGGTCTAGTTGGTACAGCAAGCCAGGAGGCCTCCCCCATGGTCATGGAACCTTCTCCTTGCTCAGGCACTGCCAAGCAGATCACCTCCTGGATGAGAAGGGCAAGGCGCAGTGCCTCCTCCAGAGGGAAGTGGTGCAGTCCCTGGAGCAGCAGGTAAAGCCTGCAGGGTGTGGTTAAGGGGAAGGAAGGCTTGAGGGAGGGAGGGGGTGACAAGGGGGTGACTAAGAAAGACCAGGTAGAGGCCTCACTTTGGTGTACATCCCCACAGCTGGAGCTGGAAAAGGAGAAGCTGGGTGCTATGCAGGCCCACCTGGCTGGGAAGATGGCACTGTCAAAGGCTCCAGCTATGGTGAGTACCCCAAGTCCAGAGGCAGAAGACCTCAACTGTTGGGGGCCCTTAAGGACCAAATGACCTCTTCTCATATGCAAGCCCCGGCCTGTACAGGCCATTGCCACCTCCTCAATATGCTTACAAACCCTCTGACCTTGTGACCCCAAAACATCATGTTCTGCCTTTTCCCAGCAATGATAAATAGGCACACAGAGAAGGCAGACAGTAACCCCAATGCACCAGTGGCAAAACTCAGAGGGAGCACTGCGAAAAGAAAACGGAGGGCCCTACACTCCAATTTAAAGATAATAACCTCAGAACACTGGATACTGTAGGTCCCGTGTGAGCAAACACATCACACGCCCAGTCCCAGGCACTTGGCCGATGTGAACTTTTTCCATTCCCATACTACAATGCAGGGAGCCACCACAGTCATCCTAACGAAATAAAGACACTGAGGTCAAGAAGACATAGTGGACTTTTCCAAATTCACAGTTGGATACTAGGGGATCCCAATTCAGACCCTGCTCACCCCCAGCCCCAGCATCTATGGCTTCATAGCATGCACACTACTATACTCTAAACAAAATGCCCACTGCCCCTTTATGGAGGTCCACCACAGCCTGCAAGTGACAAGAGGGTGGTGGCCTTCTTGAAAACACTGACCTCACTAGACACACCGTATGCATCTGTAGTTCTAGCTACTTGAAGGAGAATCACTTGAAGCCTTGAACTCAAAACCAGCCTGACTAACATAGAGACCTCATCTCTAAAAGATGCTGGGTTGCCACATTTATGATATGAGGGCTTTGTGCCCAGTCTTACTGTATCAGAAACAGAGGAGGGGTTGATCTGGGGGAGAGGGGATGTGGAGGAAGGGACTGGGAGGAGTGGAGGGGGGCGAAACTGAGGGCATGATATATGAGAGAAGAATAAAAGTTTTTTTTTTTTTAAAAAATACAAATAGCCAGATGGTGGTGACGCACACCTTTAATCCCAGCACTAGGGGGGTGGCAGGTGGATCTTTGTGAGTTCAAGGCCAGCCTGGTCTACAGAGTGAGTTCCAGGACAGCCAGGGCTACACAAAGAAACCTTGTCTTGAAAAACAAAACAAAACAAAAAACCCCAAATAAACAGAGTTGGGGAGAATGTTCAATGGGAAAAGTGCTTGCCATATAAGTAAAAGGCTCTGAGGTTGAACCCTAGCACCCACACCGGATGCAGAGTAGTTCAAGTCTGCAATCCCCTTGCACTTAGGTGGAAACAGAATTACCTAAAATGCTGTGCATGGTAGCACAGGCCTTTAAATCCAGCACCCGGCACCGAGGAGACAGAGGCAGTCAGAGCTCTATAAATTCAGGTCAGACCCGTCTACATAGTGAAACCCTGTCTAAAAAACAAGAGAATCCTGCAATTCAGAGCTCACAGGCTGGCTAGCCTGGCATAAGTAGAGGCATACAAAAGACCCTATCTCAAACAAGGACTAACACCTTAGGACTAAACCTTAGGACTAACACCCAAGCTTGCTCTGTGATCTCTACACATGCACCAGCACTTACACACATCCAAACATGTAGATGTACATACATCATACATAGAGACAAGCGAGATATAAATAGAACCAAATGAGTAAATGCAAATTTTAAAATAAAGTGGGGTTGGAGGACTGGAGAGATGGATCAGGGATTAAGAGAACTTGCTGCTCTTCCAGGAGCAGTTCACAACTCTCTCTAACTCCAGTTCCACTGGGATCCAGTGCACATTTCTGGCTTCCACAGGCACCAGGCACGCATGTGGTGCAGACATGCATGCAGACAAAATGCCCATACACATAAAGTATTTTTGTTCATTTAAAATAAAAGTAGAATGGAAGCAGGATATAATGACTCACACCGATAGTCCCAGCACTCCAGAGGTGGAGGCAAAGGATCAGGAGTTCAAGTTCTGTATCCTATGATACAGAATAAGCTAGAGGTCAGCATGGGTGACATGAGGCCCTGCCTCAGAAAAACAATTTTTTTAAATAAAAATAAAATGGAAACTAAGTAGTGGCTTAGGTAGTAATCTCAGCACTTGGGAGGTTGATATGGCAAGTGTGTCCCAAGTTTGAGGTCATCCTGTGCAACATAGTAAATTGCAGACTAGCCTGCACTATACAACATGAGACCCTGCATAGGTAGAGAGATTAGATAGATATGTAGATAAATACATAGATAGATAGATACAGAGATAGATAGATAGATACAGAGATAGGTAGGTACATAGGTAAGTAGAAAAATAGATACAGAGACGGATGGATGGATGGATGGATGGATGGATGGATGGATGGATGGATGGATGGATGGATGGATGGACAGGTGGGCAGGCAGACAAACAGATGGGTGGACAAACAAACACAACCAAGCAAACATTTTTAAAAGTAAAATGGAAAGCCAGTGTGGTAGCACATGTCTTCAAGCCCAGAACTTGGGAAGCAAAGGCAAGTGGATTTTTGTGAATTTGAGGGCAGCCTGGTCTACATAGTGAGCCCCAGGACAGCCAGGACTACACAGAGAGACCCTGTTTCAAAAAACCAAAATATAAAATAAAATAGCAGCCACTTTGTAGTGACACCCACTTATAATCCCAGAACACCAGAGGTAGAGAGAAGAGGATGGAAGGTACAAGGCCAGCCAGAAATATATAGTGAGACTATCTCAGAAAAAATAATTTAGTAAGACACAAATAAAATGAATAGACAAGGCATGGGGGTACACTCAGGAGGCAGAGGCAAGTAAGTTTCTGTAAGTTCTGGGCCAACTAGGGCTACATAGTAAGACCCCCATCTCTAAGAATTAATAATAATCATTTCTGAACAAAATAAATAGACATGAATAGGGGCAAGATTTGTGGGGAGGAAACGGGAAGCAACAGGGGGAGGAAGCAGGGTGAAAGTGCTCTGTATGTATTGCAGACATGTGCAAAATTGTCCAAAAATAAGTTTAATAATAAAAATACAAAAGAATTTTGAAAAGGAGAAAATGAAATTTAAAGCTTAAGCCTCTCAATCACTATTCTCTCCCAAATCCACCCAGGCCTCAATGGACAAGAGTTCTTGCTGCATTGTAGCCACCAGCGCGCAGGGCAGTGTTCTCCCAGCCTGGTCCGGACCCCGGGAGGCTTCTGACAGCCTGTTTGCAGTGCGGAGGCACCTCTGGGGAAGCCATGGAAACAGCACCTTTCCAGGTCAGTGTACTCTGCACCCTGTCCGATGACCCCATTGGTGTCAGGGGAGCACAAAGGAGCTCCCCATTCCCCTCACACCCCCACCAGCATCTGGGAGGAAAATGCACCTGATAAATTAGGCCGAGAATCCTCCAATGGTTACAAATGCATAGCTCCAGCCCTGTGTCTTTTGGGGACTGGAGCCATGCCTCACCTTGGCATTTAGTCATCATGAGGGAGGGATCTAGTTAATTCCAAAGAACCCTCCCTTCTTCCTCGCCTCAAGGGGAAGCAAGTAGATTCATCCAACCAATCCATTCCCACCTGCCAGGCCTGGGCTGTGGACTTACCAGGGACAATAACTCTTTGGTGTCATGTTGGCTGTGCCACTTGAACTGATGCGCAAGCTACCTGACTTCTTTTTAATCTGGGGAGAGCTGTTTGGGCAAGAGTGGTGCCAAGAGTCAGCTCCGGGCAGGCACTCCGCAAACAGTACCTGTGTGTGATCACAGACACCCCCTCCACCCTTGGTGCTAATGGCAGGGTTTCAGGCCTTGGACTCAGTGTGGAGACAAAGGTAGGGCAAGGTGTGAGGAGCTCACGGGGCCTGATCTATTCCAAACCCTCGACAGAGTTCTTCCACAACATGGACTATTTCAAGTTCCATAACATGAGGCCCCCTTTCACCTACGCCACCCTCATCCGATGGGTAAGCAGGGCAGCCTAGACCTCACAGCTGGGGGTGGGGGTACTTGTCTCCTATGCTGCTGCATCTCTCTGCACCGAGAGTGGAATCCTGCATTAACAAACTTCAGCTCTGAGAAGCCCAAAGATGTGATCCTTCTTGATAGCTTCACCCCAGATCTATCCCTGAACCAAAAAACTACCACAATCCAGGCCAGTACAAGCCAAATTGTGACACTAGAGACTATCCTTTCCTTTGTCCACCCCATTACTAACTTCACCCTTGCCCCCACGCCTCATCCCATTCCCTCTCCCTCCCCTCCCTTGACCCACAACTACACACCTATCCCAGGCAGAGAGCTTAGAGTAGGCTCCCCCCCACCTCAGGCACAGTTCTGAGGAAACCTGCTCATTCCACCTGACTCCAACTTCCAGGCCATCCTGGAAGCTCCAGAGAAGCAGAGAACACTCAATGAAATCTACCACTGGTTCACACGCATGTTTGCCTACTTCCGAAACCACCCGGCCACCTGGAAGGTGAGCACCTCCCTACAGTGGGGGCTGGGACAGCTCCAAGGGTGGGTGACCTTGGGCGACACACGCGGGAAAGGGACAGGTCAGTGCTGAGGTCTGCTGAACTCACTGCCTGACTGTCCACCCCATCCCTGCCCGGGGTTCTGACCCCCCTTTCCACAGAACGCCATCCGCCACAACCTGAGCTTGCACAAGTGCTTTGTGCGCGTGGAAAGTGAGAAGGGAGCGGTGTGGACCGTAGATGAGTTTGAGTTTCGCAAGAAGAGGAGCCAACGCCCCAGCAAGTGCTCCAATCCTTGTCCTTGACCTCAAAACCAAGAAAAGGAAGATGGACAGGGGCCAAAACATAAACCAGAGGCTGTGGAGGCAAGGAGGCAAGTCCTGGACATATCTACAGAGACCAGGCAATGATGTTTCTGCCGTCTTGCCTGCCAGGGCCTCTGCTCCCTATCTAGCTACCCTCCTGGATTATATCTTCCGCCTTAAGGCTGAGGGACACCAATCCCAGCCCAGCCCCTACCCCAACCTAGCCCCAAGACAGGCTTTCCAGCCAAAAAGCCCTCAGACCCAGCTATACATACAGCCTGCCTTGGCCACTCCCAAGTGGAAAAATGACAGACACATAGTCATAAGCCTGGACTCAACCCAACCCTAAAACACAAAGAGCCTGCCTTGGTACATTCGCCTGCCCTCAAAGTTGCATAGTCCTGCAGTCTCACGTGACTGCAGCCCTACTGACTCATACAGCCACATCGGGAACCATGGGCACTAACTGTCACACATATGCAGACCCTTGCACAACAGCAGCACCGGAACCTTCAGGATTGTATCCCAGAAAACCACACAGGCATAACTAGTAATACACAGTCTCATGCCATGCCCCAAAATATCAAGTCACAGCTTGTCAGAACTCACACATGTACACACATGCAGCCCCCTCCACTGTATCTCCTGAGTTCCATGAATACACACTGACTCATCAAAATCTACCCCATGTCTCACTTGCCACTGACCCCAGTCCTCTACCCCAAGCCCCAATCCATGCCTCAGCGTGGACCACAGAAGAACTTCTCTTTTATTTGGGATAGAAGGCCCCTCTAATAAACTGTGGTCAAGCTAGACAATCACCCTGATCAAAGATGGGACCCGATAAGCAGGCATCTGGGTTTAAAATCCCAGCAGGAGAACGCGAAGGCCGAACGGAAGGAAGTGCTAGAACCAGTGCTTGGGCACTGCCTCCAGCACCCCCAAATTCCTGCCTGTGGCGAGGAGACCTCCATCAGGCCTCTAGGCCTCCCGGACCCGGGCCAAGAGGCCAGCATTCTCCTGGCGAAGGGCTCGGTAGTCCTCACAGATCTTCTCCAGGTTGCTCAGAGTCTTCTTGCCCATCTCTGTCTCGATCTAAGACAACACAATGCACACATCTTCAGTATGCAGGGCCCATTTCCCAGCCCCTGCTGGCTACCCCTCTACTGCATTACTCTCTGCTCCCCCCATCCCTGTAACAGTAGCCAGTCCCTTCCCATCATCAGACCTCTGTGGATGTCCTTCCCATCACCTAAAGTCACAGTTTCTACCATGGGTTCTAGGAGCTAGGCATGAGGAACCTCAAGTTAGAAGCCAGGGCTCAGAGTAGACGACTGGCTAGCTCCAGGTCCCAGACACAACAGGCCCCATGGCTGGGCCTCTAGTTCTCAGTTGTCTGGTTTCGCAGACTCTCAGTGTAAAGCAAGGAACTATCATCGCCTGGTCTGCCTCCATTCCCCTTCCTACTCCCAGATCTCACCTGCTCCTCAAGGTCTCGAACTTCCCTCATGATGGTGCCTGTGTCCTCAATGGTCTGGATGAGCTGGCTGCAATTCTAGAGACAATAAGAATGCAAGGCTTGCTTGTGCCTGTGCTAGCCCTCCACAGCCAGTCCACCAGGCACATGGCTCCCCTCACCTCATGCAGGGCAGCTAGATATTTGTAAGCCTTCCGGACAGCGTCATCCTTCTTAGCGTCCTGAAAAGACAGAAGGGACCACAAACGTGTCAGCAAACTGTTCCCACTTGTCCATGACGCCAGCCCCATCTAGACCCACTCTTTCCTACCACTTTGCCTTCACCCCTCCTGAGAGAAAAGCTAGGCCCAAGCAATAGGCAACAGCCCAGTCCCGCCCTCCCCCTCCCCACCCGCTCCATACCTTGAACACAAGCTCATCAGTCACTGCAAATGTCCGGTCCAGCTTCCCAGAGAGAGAGTTGATTTCCTTCTGAAGTTCCTTTGTGTCCGACAAGATCTGGCAGAAATCAGGGCAGCCATCAGTCCATGTCTGGGGCACGGTGGCTGGCTAGCGATGGTACTCATGCGCCTGCACTTACATCCAGTCAGGGCCTGCGTCACTGTGTTGGGGTGTCTGGGGTATACTGTATGTGCCTCTTATGTGCTGGAGTGTACCTGAGCAGCTCTGCCTACCAGAGACCATAAAGTCCCTGTGTAACTACCCTACACCTGTCTGCCCACGTGATCTGTGATCCACCCATCAGAGCCATAGTGGCACACCTTAGTGATTTCTTCTTTCTGCTTCCGGATGTTGCCCACAATCTCCAGGATGCGCTGGGTATAGGCCAGCCGGGACACATCTTTTGGTAAAGTCTCCAGCTCTGACACCTAGACAGGAACATGGCAGGCATGAGCCCAAGCCCCACACTCCACCCCCAGTTACAGCCCAGGGCCCTAAAATCGGCCGGCCTTACCAGCTGCTTATAGACCTCCTCCTTCCTGCGAGCCTCTTCTGCAGCTGCGCGAACACTCTGGTGTAGCTCCTGAATTTCTGCCAACCTTCGAGATGATTCCAGCTACCAGGAACCCATAGACAGAAGGCAGTGAGCAGAGCTCAGAAACAGCCCCCAGTGGAGGCAGTACATCTCCGTCCAGAGCCCAGGACTCCACCACCTACCTCCCTACAATCCTGGAGTTTTCGGAGGTGCCGGTACTCAGCAAGAAGCGGGACCCTATGTTTTTCCCACTGACTCGCTAGATGAATGACCCGCTGGGCACTACTCTCCACCACAAGCTGGCAGGAGTCAGGGAAATATGTCAAAACAGGCTAGATCCATCCACCCCACCGCTCTCGGCCCAACCCCAATCCCAGCCCACCTGCAGCTTGGCAAGGTTGGCAGCCCCATCAGGCAGCAATTCCACCACCCGACTCTTCAAGCGTAGGGCCTGCTCCTGTTCAGCCACGCTGAGTTCGCTTTGTCGACACTCGGTCTCCACCTGGTATACTCACAGCCAAGCTCCCAGTCATATATACAGATCATAATCCTAGTGAGCCCATTATGGCCCTGGCCCAGCTCAAGGCCTCAAAGATCACTCCATGGCCTCTATCTACTACAGGCCTCAGGATCTTCAGCTCCATACTGACAGCCAGAAGCCCTGAGAAGCCCTGCAAGCCCCTGCTCATACAGACCCATCTTACTCCACTGATGCCCATAGCTGCTATGCCCCCCTGCAAAGCCTGACTGGTGCCCAAATGTGCCTCTAACCCCTATAGGTCCACCAAGCCATTAATTAAACATATTTCTTGGCCCCACAAATTCTCCTAGACCTTCAAGAATATTAGAGATTCTTAATATCCTCCATTAATAAGCCTGGCATCTACAGACCTTTTCAGATCAGCTCTCAAGGCCCTAGTTCTGACCTGATCCAGCCCAGGTCACTCTCCCAGCCCCTTACCTGCATAAGGTTGATTCCCAGGGTCTTCATGTCAGCTTCGACCTCCTCAATGTTGTGGTTCACACTCGCCAGCTGCTCCCGAAGGGACTCTAACTCCTGCTCTTGAGCTGCCCGTGTGTCCTGGGAAGCATAGGCCAGTCTAGGTAGAGCTACCAAGTCCAGAAGACAGGCAATAGCCTGGCTGACCCCTCTCTCTCTCTTTTTCTCTCTCTCTCCCCTTACCTGTTCAGGCCTCTGGGAGGTAGCTGGTACATCTGGTACCTGGGGGGCCTGGACCTGGGGCTCCTATGGGTAGAAGTAGCAGCCTGGTTATTAGTCACACAAGGTCCCAGCCTTCACAGCTCCGCCTCAAACCCCAAAGCACCCCCAAACACTGTACCCATGTCTGCTCAACCAGTGACAGTTTTCAGACTGTGACTACAGGAGAATAAAACACCATTTTTAACTGCAGATTAGAGTGGCTGACCACAAGGAAACCTTCCTGAGGCTAACCCTGACCACCCCAACCCTGTAACCAGCCCAACCTGTAACCACCCCGACCCTGTAACCACCCCGACCCTGTAACCACCCGACCCTGTAACCACCCCAACCCTATAACCACCCCAACCCTATAATCACCCCGACCCTATAACTACCCCCAACTCCGTAACCACCCCGACCCTGTAACCACCCTGACCGAAATGTCCATGAGAAAAGCAGGCATTCCTCTGAGTGGGGGTGTCCAAGGAAAAAGAGATGTTCCCAAAGGAAATATGTTTACCAAAGGAAAGATGGGATCTGTGCTGGGAGCACTGCACACCCCCTTACAAGTCCTACCACCTATCTGCCCTTTCTCCACTCAAGTCCCAAGAAGCTAGGGGAGCCCTCTGGGCACTGTCTCCCAGTTGGAAGGCCTACTCAGTGGGCACGGGGAAGCTGTATGGAATACAGTGGTGTTAATACGGAAAGCAATACTCAAGGCAGCCATCAGCACACTCCCTGTCCACTCTGGCCTACCTACCAGATAAAAGGTAAACTTCTCGGAATGGGTGAAGCGGGAGCCTTTGGGGGTGCTAGTCGTAGTCCTAGCATCCCAGGCCTGTAGCATCTCTCCTAGGTCTCGGACTTGTGTCGAGGCTCCAACTGGGCCCCAGCTCTGACGCAGATGTTCAGCCAGCTGTTTGTGCAGTCGCTGCTGTGCAGCCCGGGAATCCTCCTGGAAAGAACAGACAGGGGAAGAGGAAGGCATAGGGGCCTGCTGCTCCCTAGGACCCTGCCTTCTCACCAAGGCAGCTCCCTGCCCTACTGGCCTAGGAGCTCCCCAAGAACAGAGGGGTGCCTTTCTCCACAGTGGGTAGCATTTCTCTACCCACTCACTCCTCACACTGCAGAATGTGAGAAGAGAGAAAAGTGAACCTGGGGCTTTCAGATCAGAAGGAGACGGAAAGGATGGTGGGCAGCAAAGACACAGAATGTAGAGTACCAGGTCAAAAAGGGTCAGAGTTCAAGACAGAGAGAGATAAGCAACGGAGAGAAGAACAGAAACCATTTCAGTGCTGAAGGGCATGAAGAAATCATTAATTTCATTCAGCATAAAAATGGCACAA